GCCTAAAAATGGCAAGATAAACATTACACCAACATGTATACACATAAAGGCCATCCACGGACAACAGAAAAATGTGCACAGGCCCTAATTTCTAAGTGTGCTGAACCCACTTTGCCCCACTGTGGCTGCCAATGAGGAGGGAGCATGTCACAGCCAATCCACCAAGTCTGGGAAGAAACACCTTCTACACATCCCTATGCCTAAGAAACAGTAAAAAGTAACACACACAAAAATAAAGGAATAGGTGTGAAAAACAAAGAGTTTTCTAACTTGTTTTTCTAATGACTTCCAACTGAGAAACACTAAGCCTGGAACAGACTTTTAAATCGGTCCCCAGAATAACTTACGAGGCCCCACACTTAAAGCTTCTGTGAGCTGAAGGCGAAGATGGAAGGACTGGCCACCCTCTCCCTCCCAGGGAGAGTCCGAGGCAGAGGGTGACCAAGCAGCTCTCGGCGGTGCCTTCGGCGGTGACAGGAGAAAGAACAAACAGCAGAATTCAAGAGTCTGCTGCCTGGAATCAACCAACATTCAGCTGTTGATCTCCGAACAGGTTCTGCATGGGGCAGATCTGCAAAACCGCCATGAGGCATGACAAACGAATCTACCCCAGAGCCTGGCTGGCTAACAAGGCTTTCGACCACAAGCACTTCGGTGAGTCATCCCAAACGAACACGTTTTAACTACCTCGCACGACCGGTGCAACCGAACGGCAGAAGGCTGCCATTCCAAGGGCACGCGCCCCGAAAGGAAGCCGGCGACATTTAATTTCAGCTACCAAGCTTCATCCAGACTTTGCGGGGAGGGGAAGTCATTCCTATGGTGATGATGATTATGCTTCTAAGTGCCATTGGCATAGCTAATTCCACGTTCCGGACGGGTTAAGCATGAGCTGATGAAGCAGCCCGTGAAGAGTAAATCACTCCCTTTGGTCGACTAAGGTCTCCAAAACCCTGCTGACCAGGACAGCGGAATCGGGACGTTTGGGAAAAGAGATCACTTGCTAGGGGGTTCTTCTGAGCGATTCTTCTGAGCTGCATCGAGCTCAGAGCGAGGAAGCCTGAAGTTTGAAAGGTAGGTAACCATCGGTCTTTTCACATAACCGTCTGGGTGTCCCCGAGTCCGTCATTTGTACATTCAGTGCCTCTGTGTTCTTGATTTGTAAAATGAAGCATTGGAGCCAAAGTCTCCACCAGCTGTAAAATTCTATGATTCTCTAAGCAATAGTTTACCGCGCTGCTGGCAACCTCGGTCATCAGAATGATCCCATTAACACTGTGCCATGCAGAATGTTCCACTGGTGGTTTCGAAAAAGCGGCTCTTTTATAGAGTGGAAAGGTCGGATCATGAAATAAACCCAGTCGCTTTTGTTTTTCAAAACAGATGAAGAATCTGAGGTCAAAGACGTGGACTACGTTGTTCAAATGACAAGCTAACGAGTGGCACACGCGAGACGAGGCCACCTCACGCGCGCTGTCTGCACAGCGCCACGGTCACGCCCAGCTGGCTTCAGGACCCTGCCTCCCCTCACGAGAAGCTGCTTCGGCCCCCTGCACGATCCACAGTGTGCCGTTTACGCGACTCATTAAACACAGCCTACATCACGGCTCTGCTTTACTGGCCTCTGGGTTATTAGTTTTCCAGACACTTAATCCAGGAGACATTGGAAGAGTGGCCTAGAGGTTTTCATGAAAATTCGCCAGGACGAAATACTTGAAGAAGTTCTCCGAGGAGTGCCGGAGAGAGCAAACGTCAACACACCAGCCGTTACTTATCGGATGAGTATTTTACACATAGGAAAATTCTAGGGCACCCAGTGACTTCAGTGAGGTGACTGGACTGCGGCCTCAATAGTGAAAGAACTTTCTCTCTCTGGCTTCAGGCCACTGTGACAATAGGACAATGCCACTGGCACATGTCTGCAAACTCCATGGGTAGGTACGTGAACCACGTGACAGCAGAGACACAGAGGCCTGGGTGGCATCTACGTGGACCTGCACCTATTTCTGGCCATGGAACGCCCACAGCTCCTGGGGGACAAAGGCTGTGCTGGCAAACAGCCCCCCGCTGCCTTGCTGTGGGCTCTTTGGAGGGACCGCCCTGAAAACCTTATAGGGGACCATCTGGGAATTTCTGTGCAGAAGCCACGCCGCATGCCACCCAATACGCTGCCGTCTATTCCAGCGTGAGACAATTTGTTCCAGAGAATACAACCGGCAGACATTAAACCCTAAATTAGATTGGATTCAACAACCTGCTCGAATCTCAGACATGACGACGTGTGAAAGAAGCCACACACCGGTGAGTATGTGCCGTACGATTCCGTCTCTCTAAAAGCAAAAATAAAAATGAAGAACCAATCTGTAACAGCAATAGAAGTGAGAATGAGGGTTCTGCCTCGGGTCGGGGGTGTGGACTGCAAAGGGGCACCAGGGGCTTTCCTGGGGGGCCGGAAATGCTCGATGTCTTGATCTGGGTGGTGGCTACGCAGGCATGAAAAGATTTCATAATTCAGCAAGTTCTATACTTCAGATGTGTGCGTACTCTGCTGTACGTACGTTATACCTCAGTAAAAAAGTAACTTAAAATATTGTGTGAAGCCCCATGATGTACACGGGGAATATGCTTCAGCGTGAGGGTATTTGAGATTCTCGGAGCTGCATCTTGGCAAAGATATTATTAGTAATAGCAGTCGCTAGATTCAACGCTTAGATGCACCAGGCCCCATGCAGGGAGACATGTGAAATGTACACCATATCTCCTTTAATCCTTAAGGCATTTTCATGGGGTAGAGATCGTCCACATCTCCATTGCACAGATGGGGAAACTGAGGCACAGAGAAGCGGAGTGATATGTCTAAGCTCACGCAGCACGTAGAATGTCAGAACTAGGATGTGAACCCAAAGCATCGACTCCAGCGCCTACGTCCTTATACGGCTGTGACGTTTTCTCCTCTGCTGCGAGATGAGGGTGTTTTTCCAGGTGGGTCACAGCGGGTCCCTTCCAGCACCTCCCCGGTGCCTGAGAACCTCCCGACAGAACAATGCGGGCTGCACCGTCGGCATCGGGGGTAAGGAAATGGAGGCTCGGGCCCCGGTGTGGTTGGCGCGAGGGCCCGCTTCCGCTGCCTCTGGTGGAGCGGGCTGGGTGCCGTTGTTGGTGTGTTGAATTTCGACTTCATTCCTTTTCCTTCAAAGAAACACGCGGTGGGGACGACGCAGAGTGTTTTCATACGCCGTCTGGAACGCCACGTGCCAGGACAAAGCGTCCGCAGTGTGCCACACGCTTTTAAGGCCTTTTGAAAAGACTAAGGGGCTTATTTTTTCGCCTCCTTTTTCCAGCCTTTATATTTGTTATTATATTGTTATTATATGAAACATAACCTATCTGTGGCACCTAGAGAAGGCATTCTCTGCTCTTTAATTAGAACGTACACACCTTGTGATTTTTCCAGACATCCTCTTTTATCCTTACTGCCTTCCCAATTAGTTTCCCTGAAGTCCTCATAGGAAAACCTGTTGGATCGTGGGTTTCTCGGTTAAAAGGAGCCATTAATTACAGGCCCTCCAAAACTCCATCGGGGGAAGGGCTCAAACTGACTTACTAATGGTCTAGGTCCCACGACCAGGCCTGAATGCCTGTCCAAAGCCTTCACTGGGCCCCACAAAGCAAAGGTGGAATGATGTCCCTCCCCACCCCAGCTCCCATGATAACCAATTATTTCAAATAACTTGAAAAAAAAATGATTGAATATTGAAATTTTCGATAAAAAAAAATTGATCTCATCTCACCGCTGCCACAGGCCCACAGCCTGCTTCTCTCCCCACCGACTCCCAAGCTCAGTGTACCAAACACAGATCACTCAGCGACAGCCTGGAGGATCAAAATTAATGGGGTGTCTCCGCCCGGAGCTGGGACACTGAGGACCAGGCAACAGATGCCTCCACCGGCCCTCCGTGCCCCATTCTCCAGCCTTCATCAGGCTGCTATGCTGCCTGAGGCTTTACTCCTTGTCCTCATATAATTCCTGGCACTTGGCCTAGCTCCAGCCAGCCCAGAGCTGGGTCCCACTCCCACGTGTCACATCTTCCGTTTCCCCATATTGGCAGACTGACCTTCTCAGAGCTGCTCCTTCTGAGTGACAGCATTCACCCCCTAACTAGCCCTCCGCTGAGTAAAGCCAGAACACGCAGGCCTTAGCCACATAAGGACAGCACGGCGGACCTCGGTCCCTGGGCCATCACCCTCCACCATCACGGGCTCTGAGAAGATGTTCTAGCTTCATTCCTCATTGCACTTGGCCTTGTAGGTACCCAGGTCTGCCAGACCCATCAAAGCCCCTCGTCACCCTAAATCCCACCCCTGTTGGCGTTCCCACTCCGTGAATCCAGGCTCTATCTGCTGGAAACCTCTGCGTTTGGCAAAGTGGACACGCTCCGTTTCGAACGAGCCGTGAGTGATTTCAAAGTCATGAGACTTTAACGCGGTTCGGGCATCAACGTGAATAGAGAATGGAAAGGAATCGGGGGTCCCGGGTGCCCGGGGTCTGTGTCTCGGCCAAGTGCAGCCTTGTTCTGTAGTTAGTCATCACGAAGTGATTTAAACGTATGTTCATGCACACACACACACACTCACACACACACACACACACAAACATGCCCACTTTGCTTCTTTCTGGAAAGTAAGCTTGGAAAAGAAAAAAAAAAAACCAACTCTGTTGCTGGTGAAAGAAATGACGTAAAAGCTAAGAAAGGAATGCTTAATCAGAAAACAGCGCTTTGGGATACTTCCAGAACTGAATGATAAATGCGGTGATGGTTAAAATGAATGGATTTGTCATATAGTCCTGAGGAAGGCGAGGCACAGTGACGCTCAGGTCGATGTCCCAACCAGGACGAGAACCGCACGCATTTTGGGGTCTGACCTGGGTGTTGGAAAAATATTTCTGGCACGCTGGCAAACAGCAAAGCCGGAGGGAGGCTCTGTTACGAGGTTCTTACCTGGTCGTCGTAGCGGTAGGTGAGAAACTGCTCCCCCGTGGTATCTTCCAGAAAACTCCCCTGGGGGGACAGTGCAAACTCGGGGAGGAAATAGGCCCCGGTGGCCTTCTCCGCTGAGGTCTGAAAGGCAAGATCGCTCGGTTACAAACCAGGCTCCAGTAAAGCTTTGACAGGTGATCCCTGAGCAGGGCGAACCCATGAGAACCGCCCGCCGAGGCTGAGGCAGGAAAAGGCAAGGGCCCTCTCTCGGCCAAGGCCAAGGTGTGACACACCAGGTACCTGCGCTGAGGCACAGTTAGACCAGGATGTCGCCTGGTCCACCTCGACCTGGCACACACGGCATTTTTTCCCTGACACCTGCCACCCACTCCCCACGACTTCCCAGCGGCCTGGCCACAGGGCCGTGAACTTGCTTAGATTTTGTCGTTGCAAATCCACTGTCTGGGATAGTCTTTCTTTCTCCCTTTCCTTCCTTCCTCCTTTCTTCTTTTCTATTTTTGTTTGTTTGTTTGGTGAAGGGGGTGATAAACTTTTTTCCACACTACTACAGAAATGCACGTTCACCGTAGAAAGTTCGGAAGATACGGATGAGCACAAGGAAAATAAGTCACTCATACTCCCTTCGACCTATAATAACCACTTGAACTGTCTTGATGTATTTCCTTTGAGACTTTTTTCCTCTATACTGCTTTGCATGTATGTTTTTTTTTTTTTAAATCCAAGGTTAAATAAACACAGATTTTGCAGAAAGAGTCAGGTTCAAGAAAAAGCACCCCAGCATCATCCACTGGAGACTATGGCTTGGACATGATGTCCTAATGGGCTGGTCACCGTCACCCCCATCCTGGGGGGACACATCCACAGGAAGCTGGTACATGCCGAGTACTTACTCGGACCACTGCCTTGACTGGCCCCAGAAGGAAAGAGATAAAGGACATGATCGGAACCCCCACTGATCGGAACCCTGGACGACTGTGCCTCCAGCGAGGACCTCGCACCCCCTGCTTGAGAAGGAAGGAGTGAGAAGCAGAGTTAAGAGGGCAGGGGTGTTCCTGCAAAGAAAGTGCTCTCTGCAAACAGAAACTGGGGGTGGGGGCAACTGTACCCCTCAAATAGCTCTGCTGCCCCAATGCCGTCACAGCCCCAGAGTGCAGCAGGAACTTTGGTTAAAGCGAAAACATCCACCTGAAAACTGTCCTTCAAAAAGAGGAGGAAGTCCGTGACAGCTCTGCCAAGGCACACAGAGCAGAAAACCGCATGGTTATCCAAAGAACCTCGAGGTTTCCTTGCTGAAGTTCATTGACACGAGGGCTTCAGCACCAAGTGAGCAACAGGTGTCTGTCTGCCCAGAGCCCTGCAGCCCCAGGTCTCCGTTGCCCTCCCCGGGACGGCTTGCTTAAGGCCAGGTTCCTCGGATCCGAAGTGGGGAAAACAGGAAAACCGCCTGTCAAATTTCTGTTAGGCGGCTGAGCCACCCTTGACACCGTGTTCAGACACCACCATGTTCATGGAGGTTTTCTCTGTGATGTCTCCTTCCTGCTGGGGAGCCCATCTACCTCGGCAATCCTACCAGATGCCCTGCAGCCTCTACTTGAATACCAGTCGTGACGGGGAGCTCACTCTCTCACAAGGTAACAGGGGTCTGTGAAAGACTAGCAAGTTCACAGATGCCGCACTAGTCCGAAGTGGTCCGCTGCTCCCCAGGTGAGGTGTGAGGTGTCCTTCCCAGTCATCCTCTGCCACACCCTCCGCCCGCCCCCGCCCCTGGTAAACACACACATTCTAAGTTGAATTCGGGAGTCCGAACAGAGTGAACAGCAGAGCTACGGAATTTCGAGGAACCCGAGTGACCATGTGATGCCAAGCCGTCCCCTGCAGCACCTCCAAGAGTCAGGCACAACAGAGCCGACAGCGGCCCTCTGAAAAGAAGGCTGGACGAGAAGCGAACACTCAAGTTCACTGAGCATCAACCGTGTGCCAGGAATTGTGGAAACTGCCCCATCTGGGACCCGGAAGTCCTCTGTGAGGCAGGAGCCATCAGGCTCACTTCGCCTGTGCAGAAACCTAGACGAAGGAGATCGAGTCATTTCACTGGGGACACACAGACTCCCAGCTGCTGACGGCAAGTTTGCCTCCCTCGGTGCAAAGCTGACTTAGCACTGGGCTCTCCTGGAGACACGATGGCCAAGTTCACGTGTGGCTTCAGAAAGTGAGCACCATGCCAGTGCCGGCGGCAAAGAACGTGCATGGACGTTCTCACCTGGACGGCAACTGGAGAGGCTCCCATCAGGGAGGCTCGGGGCCTGTGGCTCCTCACAGGATGGATGAGAGAAGTCAGGGCCCTGATGTAACAGGAGCTGAAGGGAAGGTGCGTGGGACGCCAAGCCAAGAAGTATACGATCTCCCCAGGGCACAAAACGCGTCACCCCCAGCCACCGTGCACAGGTGTCAGCCACCAGGGATGGGGCCGGAGGAACGCGGACGGCCCCTCCAGGGACCATGACTCTGAGATGGGGCTGCAGCTAGCTGTGCATCCACCCGCCTCCCCACCCAACGGAGGTTTTCACTCTGGCGGGAGGACGTACACGTGGGAGGCCACTAAGTCCTCCTGCGACAGGCCCCCGTGAAGCCTCGTCTCTGCGCCCTGGACTGAGGGCCAACTGCACCATTCCCCATCCCGCTCTGCCTTTGGGTCCGGCCCCCTGCCCCGCCTGGTGGGATTCCGACTCCACACCTGTCCCATCTCTCTCCTCACCTTGCGTCACCCCAGATCCGAGCAGCGTGCTCTCCGCCTGCGTCATGGTCACGGTCATGAACCCTGAGCGGAACCAGGACTGAGACCCGGGCCCTTCACCAGGCCGAGACGAGCCTGTCTCCAGCTTGACGGTGGTTATGCCCAACGACAGTCCCCTCATTTCAGATGTCCCCATGTCAACCACCAGGAATCCAAGAGACCCCCTCAAATCGGCAATGACGTGGGCAACGCACGGGCGTTAAGATGCTAGATGGAAGAAATGAGCTTCCCGCAGACCCTCATAGGCTGGGACAAAAGCTGACCCCTTGGAAGGCGAAGCCCTGAGCCACTGTGATGGAAATGGTCTTGGATGGGAGGTGACGACCACTCCCACAGGTGAAAAGTCTCTTTACGTGACAACATTCAGTGATTCTGGAAGTGCCTCTCCCAGGTGGAGCGGGCAGGACCCCCAGCCCTGGGAACAGTCTGAGAGGAAGATCTTCTCTGGGGGGGTCTCAGAGGGGTTGTTCCTTCTTACCTGGGTGGCACACAGGACTTTACAGTTGGTACCTTCCAAGGCCCAAGAGGGAAAATCACATTAACCGATACTACTTAAACTCAGCACACCGAGCCCATTTTCTTTCCAAACAGCACGATTATTTGCATTTTGTTTCCTGAGCCCATTAACCGATACTACTTAAACTCAGCACACCGAGCCCGTTTTCATTCCAAACAGCACGATTTGCATGTTGTTTCCTGAGCCCGAAACGAAGCTTAAAATAGAAGCCTTCCAAATCATTTTGGTTTTTCGAGTAGGATGTCATCACTCCAAGACTTTTTAAAGTCTTAAGTGTTCCCCCAACTTCCTGATTAGATGTAAAATATGTTTGTTTCCTTTAGCAGGGTTGGAAGGGTGGGCTGAAAGGAAATTTGTTTTTTTATTTTTTTTTTATTTCCTTTTTGAGTTTTTAAAAATGAATGTTAAGGATTGAAGTTCTGCCTTCTCTACGGGGCACCGACTAATTCACATGTTCTGATATTGTCGGGCTGAAAGGCCTAACGCTTGATTAGATGTCTCTGAGTACACCTCCGCCAAAATACCATGTAGCTCTCAACTTCAGCTTTACTCTTGAGTCACTTTTTCGAAAGAAATATGAGCAGCAGCCCCTCCTGGATCCGTCCTAGCACTGGGGGGTGGCCTGTTCACACATACGGAACGAGCTGTGACACAGAGAAGGTCTCGCCTTGACTAAGGCACATGAAGACTCTTAAGCAAGCTGGAATTTGAATGTAATAAATGTCCTTCGTCGCACACTGTTCCTCCGTCTTCCACGAAACGCATATTCTCTTCCGAATTTTCTCTCTTCTCTCCTCCTCTCCCCTTCCCTTCTCCACACGTGCACACACGCACACGCACACACACGCACTCACACGCACATCTTTAATCAGTACTGTCACGCAGGGCCAAGAGCAATCAGTAAGAAGATTATGCTGGAACAGATTTCACCTCCCCGCTCCCTGAAAAGAGATAACGTAAAAACGCAGTCCTAGTACTCCTCTGCATCTCCCAAGCTTGTTCAGTGCTCAGCAGACAGTCAACGATTCATTTTTCTTTCCTAGAAAAACCGACCCAGGGTGCCCCTCCCCGCCTCCCAGAGCTCTGCGTGTCTAGTGCCCGAATATTCTCCCCACCATAGAAAGATCGAAATGCTCTGGCCACATACCATGCTGGCACGTCACGAGGGGTTATTTTAAAACTCGACTCTTTCTCTGAATGGGGAGAGGAAAGCAAGCCTCCCTCTGCCAATATACTCAACATACCCTTCTCCCCAGAGCCCGCCTCTCCCGCGAAAGTTTTTATTTGAGTCCATTTTTCAAGACCTTGAAGTAAGCTGACCCATTGGAAACAGGTTCAGTTAGCAAAATAAGGCTACAACGGAAGTAAGGCTACCGTAAAATACCACAGGGGGAAAAAATAAACAGGGCTCTTTCAGTGAGGGACAAAAGCAGACAGACGGTTATCTCGGACCCTACTATCCCGTAAGCTCCCCACCCCACCACTCACACGGTGACCTCTCTGGCAGGAAAAAAAGGCCATCTTTGCCTTTTGCATCAAGCACAAATACGCATTTTATTTTACCAAAGTGGTGGAGGGGGAATCCCCAAAGTGCAGTGTGTCCAAGTAATCCTTGGGGTTCACGGAGTCATCTAGTCACTCCGTTAACAGATGTTAATTAAGCCCCTACTATGCACCAAGGCTATTTTTGACACGGAATTCAGCAGTCAAAGAAACAGACAAGAATCACTTTTCCCAAGGAGTTTATAGTCTAACGAGGGAAGCAGAAAAGGAACGCAGTAAATAGTGACTTGTATTTTATGTCATACA